TTCGATCACTCTATCCAACAATCTTTTGCTTACAACATGATAATCTAAACGCCAGCCAAGACCTTTAGTGCGGCACTGAAATCGATAGGAATAGTAAGTGTAACTGCCCGTTGTGTCCGGGTGCATATGGCGCCAAGTATCAATAAATGTGTCTTTTCCTCCATCCAAAATTTTGTCAAATCCGGATCGTTCTTCTATTGTAAATCCAGCAGTCCTAAAATATGAAAATATTTGAAACGAGACATAACTTTAAGGTATAAAAAAATACAATATTTGGATAATTTATAATTTACCTTTGATTAGTTGCTGGACGCGCCAAATCAATTTCTTTATGGGCAACATTCATATCTCTAAAAAAGGGAACAACTTAAATTGCATTAATCAACTTAGTTTTTCAAATCTCATGGTGTTGAAAGTTTATATACGATCACGTGATTTGTTTCAATTTATCAAATTGGTAAGATATAACTGCTTAAGTTACCAATCGATTTTTAAAAGACACCTGCATAAAAAAGCTTTGGCGATTTTTGATATTGTTGAATATATTCTCATGCCATATATAGACCTTAAACCAAATTTTTTTATAGAAGTAATATTTCCAAAGCTCATTACAGAGCTATCACAAAGCTTCTTAAATATTGCTTCTATAAAAGTTGCATTTTAAAGATATACTATTCACCCAATCACGTGATCATCAGTACATGTAATAACTATTACCCTGCCCAGATGACCGGTTTCTTTTCATCTAGTTGCGTTAAATATTGTTTCATGGCCTCATCCCAAATAACACGCTCCTTTAATCTAACGAGTTTTTCTCCCGCATTTGGCACGTAGGCAGTTACATAATACAATGTCTCGAACTCCAATGTAACGACGCGACCCTTGGTAACCTCAGGATCAGGATGTGTAGAGAGGCCAAAAACAACCGAAATCGGTTCAATCTTTGAGAATACAGCAATTCCACCTGTTAAAAACCAAATAATATTAAAATTTATGACTGAAAATTTAAATTGTCAGAATCGAACTTACCGTATCCTTTTTTTTTCTCAAATCCCCACCAATTATATTTATATTTTTTGGTATCGACAGCATTAAATTCTTTTTCATTGACTTTCGTTTCTTGAAGACACAGAATATCTGCATCTTCGGCTTCCACATATGTATGATACCCCTAAAAAATTAAAAACCAATATTTAATATACAAAACACATAAAATACTTCTATATATTTTAAAAGCTTTGTAACCTTCTTTAAAGCTGCTTTCAAACCGCTAACGTTCCATGACGCGAGCTTAATAGTTCCTGAAGGCTTTTGGAACTCTAATTTTTCAGGCATTTTCGTATTGAGAGGCAAAGAAGTGGTAGAAGTGGTGGCGGTTTTAACTTTCTTTTGCTTAGGTTCTTTCGAAGAAACTTCCTCCCTGTTAGGACTCACTTCATCGCTTTCTTTAGCAGCCCTTTTTTTAGAGTCGTTCTTGGTGGCTTTTTCCATACTTATCGGAACAAAATGTGACGCGGTTATAAGAATGGCGCGAGGAAAATATGAAAGTATTATCTGAGTTGGCGGAAACAAAGTGAACATTATCTGTTATCGTTATGGGCTATTATACATCTGATCCCAATTGGATGTGATGTAAAAATTATTTCCTATCCAAGTAATTTGTTACCGGTAGCGAACCTGGTAAGCCAAATGGCATGCCACTTGCTAAATTAGTATTAGCATGGCACGGAAAATTTGAATTTAAATACTGTATTTAAAATTTTCCCATGGAAATTATACCAGTACTTGCAGGGACGGTGATACTTCCGTTAAGAACAGCAATAAGACAAGTGTAAAAAATCAAATAAAAGTTCATTTTATGTTAGAATTAGAATCAATTATGCAAAAAGCTATTGATTTATGGATATTTAGCATGTGATCTCGACATTTTTTGCCACGACTAAGAACAATGCAATTTTCACAAAAAAAATGCAACTCACGCACCCGACATTAGCCGAATCAGACTTGGAGAAAAAATTAAATTTTCAGTCTAAAACATAAGATTTGCGCCTGGGGAATTATGTAGATTCAATCAAAGCGCACAGATATTACAAGATTCATCATGGAGGTAATACTCTATTCAATACGTAATACGTATAAGTTATTTGATTAATTTTTTGCTGATTACGCAAATATAGTAGACAAGTTATAACCCTGACAAAGTTATTCTGGCCAATTCTTGTTAAAATTTTGATCCAAACTCCATGAAATATTAATGACAGTATATGACGCATATGTTAATATGAGTTTGTTATAAAAATGAGTATATCCTAATAAATTATTATTAGTATATACCCTTCCGTCAAAAAATATCAAAATTCTTTAAATAACCATATACTATAAACAGATTGATTTTAAAATAAATAAATTTTTATAGGAGATAGATGATTTTTGTCACGCAGATCAGGTGGGTAAATTTTTTATTATGAAATTTGAGTGATCGAT